GCCAGAGTCTTGATCTCTGTTGGTGGCTTGGAAAATTCTAGAAAAATAATAATGAAAGGCAACATTTACAAAGCATGTACTATATTTAGGGCCCTGTGCTGTACAGTTGATGTAAATTTCCACAAAGCACTCACCAAGTCCTCACTATGGCTCTGTGAGGTTGTCACTAACAATGCTCCCATTTTGCAGATGGGGAAACTGAGGCCCAGAAGTGCTTAGCCACTTGCTCAGTCCCCACAGCCAGGAAGGGGCTCCAGCTTCCTTATGCATAATCTCCCAGATGCCTTGAACCCCTGGAGGTTTTGTTTTTGTTGCTCTTATGCCCTGGGCAGGGTAAGGCAGGAAGGAGAAAGTTCATCCTGGATGAGAGGAGGGGGCTCCACAAATATGTCCCTCTTTGCCACCCAGCCAGGTTCATCTGTACACTGCCCAACAGAGAGCCAACATCCAGAGACAGAAGGGTTCACAGTAGAGAAGGAGTTTATTCTGTATAGCACTAGGAGCGGGGGACAGAAGGAATTTCTGAAATCCATCTCCCAAAGAATTGGAGAAACAGGGTTTTTTTTTGGTTGTTCTTTGTTTTTTTTGAGACAGAGCCTCAAGCTGTCACCCTGGGTAGAGTGCTGTGGCATCACAGCTCACAGCAACCTCCAACTCCTGGGCTCAAGCGAGTCTCCTGCCGCCACCTCCCAAGTAGCTGGGACTACAGGTGCCCAGCACTATTTTTAGGTTGCAGCCGTCATTGTTGTTTGGCGGTCCCAGGCTGGATTTGAACCCGCCAAGCTCAGTTGTATGGGGCTGGCGCCTTAGCTGCTTGAGCCACAAGCGCTGAGCCAAGAAACAGGGTTTTTAAGGATAGTTTGGTGGGCAGAGGGTTGGGAAATCAAGGTCTGCAAATTGGCTGGTTTTGGGGTGGAACCATCGGTTCCTTAGTATGGGCAGCTGTATGGATGGGTCAGGCAATCTTTTGGAATGCAGTTCCTTGGATGAATGGGTGGGTCTAAGACCAATTAAGTCAGTTTCTTGGTCTGGGTGGTCAGTCAATCCACTGGAATGTGGACCTGGAAGATATCTCAAAAACAATCCCTAGATTTGGAACAGATGATGTTATCAACAGAGAAAGTTAAGAAGTTTTACACTACCAGCTGTGTCCCCTAGAGTCGCAACTATAGAGAAACAAACAAGGGGACAGTGACTATGATCAAGTAAATGAGTGGACAGTGGCTGGTTATTATCATTGTTTTAGCTAGGCCTGTTCCTTCACAACATTTGTGGGGCCCTTACTCTAGTTTTTACCTTGTACCTCCTCATCAATATGTAAGGGTGGTTTCACATGCCCCTCAACTTTTGCCTGCTGTGTTAGGGTGGGACAAGGCTTTGGTTAAAACCAAGGGTTGGAAAGGCTGGACATAGTGGCTCATGCCTGTAGTCCTAGCACTTTGGGAGGCTGAGGTGGGTGGATTGCTTGAGCTCAGGAGTTCAAACCAGCCTGTGTGAAAGTGAGACCCTGTCTCTAATAAAAATAGTAAAAACTAGCTGGGCATTGTGGTAGGTTCCTGTAGTCCCAATTGCTCAGGAGGCTGAGGTGTGAGGATCACTAGAGCCCAAGAATTTGAGGTTGCTGTGAGCTATGATGATGCCACAGCACTCTACCCAGGGTGAGTAAAACTCTGTCTCAAAAAAAAAAAAAAAAAAGGCAAGAGTTGAGCTTGGTAGCTCACATGGTACTAGTTACTTGAGAGGCTACGATGGGAGGATCATCTGAGCCTAGGAGTTTGAGACCAGCCTGGGCAATATAGCAAGACCCTGCCTCTACAAAAAATTTAAAAATTAGCTGGGCATGGTGGTGTATGTCTGTAGTACCAGCTACTTGGCAGCTGAAGCAGAAGGATCACTTGAACCCAGGAGTTGGAGGCTGCGGTAAGCTATGATTATTCCACCACATGCCAGCTTGGGTGACAGAGTGAGACTTGCCTCTAAAAGAGTAAAGACTATGGCATCAGACAAATATGGATCGGAAATCTAGCTTTCCAGGTGACCAGTGTGGCTCCACTTTCCCCAGGATTAGTTTTCCATGTGTAAAATTGTACATAACTATTGGAGGATAATCTAGGAGCTGCCGTGTGAGTAATCTTGGGGCAGAGAGTGGAGGCTGGTGGCTCAGTTTTATTCCAGGAAACTGTGACTGGAGGGCCCCCTTTCTCTACGCCTTTCCCTCAATCCAGTTACTCAATTAAGGGTGTGGGTTGTTTCATAACTGACCTCCCATTTCTTGCTTAGTACCAGGAAGTAGGAAGGCAGAGGAAATTTTACTTTAGAAACATCCTTCTTTTTATTCTTTTAAGAATAAGGGTACTTTATTTCTTTAACTTTTAATTTTTATTTATTTATTTTTTTAGAGATTATGTCTTGCTCTGGCACCCAAGCTAGACTTGAACTCACAGGCTCCAGCAATCCTCCTGCCTCAACCTACTGAGTAGCTGCAACTACAGGTACACTCCACCACACCCTGCTAATTTTTGAATATTTTGTAAAAATGGGGTCTTGCTATGTTGCCCAGGCTGGACTCAAACTTCTGGCCTCAAGTAATCTTCCCATCTTGGCCTCCTAAAATGGTGAAATTATAGGCATGAGCCATCACACCAGGCTTTCACTGTCTATAGGTATCTCAAAAGATCATTTGTACACCTTAAATATATGCTATAAAATTTGTAAGAGAGAAAAAAAAGCTTTAGGAATATTCTCACAAGAACAATGCTGCTATTTTGGAGAAGCAGCAGCCCTCCCCCCACCATTGTGGCTGAAATGTGAAGGTTTTAGCACATCACTCCTTCATGAGTTGGCTGTGTGACCCAGGGAAAGTTATGTAGCCTCTCTGGGCCTCACTCTTTCCTTTAGTGGAGATAATAATCAATTTGACGTTTTATTTGGGGTGATTAAATGAGGTCATGTATGTAAATCATCTCAGAACTCAACAACATGAAGGATTTGTAAATTTCTGTAGTAAGCTGCCATCCCCTGGCAGGAACCTTGAAAGGCAAGAGTGGGTATCTGTAAAGGAAAACCCAGGGTCTTTAACACTGGGAATCTCTAGATTCTTGCCCTTGCCCCAAGGCCCATACTAACCCCAGGAGGTCCTGCCAGAGCCACCAGCCCGGCCTCTGCTGACCCTTCCCTCCTGCTGGCAGGAGCTCAGACTCTGCTAAAGAAATCCAGCCAAGGCTTGAATTTTCATTTTCCCTTATACACATGGCAGATGAAGCAAGTATCAGTGATTCTTTTCTGATCTGGCAGAGCCACCAGTCATTGCAACACTGTCACCAGGGCAACAAGTTGTCATCTTGTAAGGCAACTAATCAGAAGCACAGGTTTCCTTCAGAGGTTGGTTTCACAGAATGGCAACAGTTCCTAGGCTTCCAAGTGATACAAGCTCCCTTTAATTCTTTAAGGACAGATGTATAATATATTAGCAGGGGAACAAGCTGGTAGCTGTTATGAATATTCACAAGGAAAATCGGTTGTGTGGGGCAGAACAATCCTCTCTTATGGCTTCAGGGAACAAGGAGGCCTTTATCATTGTTTTGTTTTGTTTCGAGACAGAGCCTCAAGATATCACCCTAGGTAGAGTGCTGTGGCATCACAGCTCACAGCATCCCCCAACTCCTGGGCTTAAGTGAGCCTCCTGCCTCTGCTTCACAAGTTGCTGGGACTACAGGTGCCTGCCACAATGCCTGACTATTTTTTGGTTGCAGCCATCATTGTTGTTTGGCGGGCCCAGGCTGAATTTGAACCCGCCAGCTCAGGTGTATGTGGCTGGTGCCTTAGCCACTTGAGCCACAGGCGCCGAGCCAGAGGCTTTTATCTTTGGTCTTTGGGAAACCCATTTCCCCTCAACTATAGAGTGAAAGTATTTGGTAATGGCAGTAAACATGACTGTATGCAGAATTTTACTGTATGCAAATGATGCCTTGGTGAAATCCAATTTAAAAAACAAACTACACTTGGGAAAAACAAAACATGCAGCATGCAGGTATGTACATTTCTTGAAATGTACCAAACTGAATACTTAAGCTATCAGTCTTCATGCCTGCAATCCTAGCATTCTGGGAAGCTGAGGCAGGTGGATTGCCCTGAGCTCACAGGTTTGAGACCAGCCTGAGCAAGAGCTAGACCCGTCTCTTAAAAAAAAATAGCTGGGCATTGTGGTGAGTACCTGTAGTCCCAGCTACTTGGGAGGCTGATGCAAGAGAATCACGTCAGCCCAAGGGTTGGAGATTGCTGTGAGCCATGGCACTCTACCAAGGGTGACAAAGTAAGACTCTGTCTAAATAAATAAATTATTGTCAATCTATCTGTCTATCTATCTACTAATAGTCTTGCTCTGTCACCCAGGCTAGAGTGCAGTAGCATCATTATAGCAATCTCACTGCAACCTCAAACTCCTGGGCTCAAGCCATCCTCCTGTCTCAGCCTCCCAAGTAGCAGGGACTACAGACACGTGCCACCATGCCCGGTTGTGGCAATAGTGAAATTCAAATTCCAGTGTGAAAAGTTTTCCTGGAAGACAGTGTGCCCATGTTTTATATATCATCAATGTATTCATACAGCAGTGGCAGAGTTGAGTAGTGCTGAAAAACAATATGGTTCTTAAAACCGAACAAATTTGCTATCTAACCATTTTCAGAAAAAAATAAGTTGCCCACCCCTAGTCTATTGCAGCTACCCTGGCTATTTCCACCCCACTATGAGCAAACTTCCCATTCTCTACTCAGTTTTCAGACCACAGGCCCTGGAATTATCCCTGAGCACCACCTCTGCCCAGTCCCTGGACACCGGGAGGGCAGGCTGTGGCAGGGAGGCAGGTAGAGCTCCCCTCCCCACCACCAACCTGAGAGTCTGCTCAGGGGGCTTCCTTTGGGCCCGGATGTGGGAAGTGTGGGTGGGTGGGGTCAAAGGATTTATTTGCCACACCCTGAGATCTCTGACAGAGCTGTGGCACAGGAATCCCTGTTCCAGATTTGGCCACCTGAGCTCACTACAGGGTAAGTGACAGCTGCTCCAACCCTTGTCGCAGTCCCAGGCCAGGGCCCAGAATCAGAGGTGGGTCCCATCCCTGCCCCATCACGAAAAGAGTCTTTTGTTTCCCTCTTGCAGCACCTGCAGGATGAAGGCGCTCTCTCTCGTCCTTCTCCCTGTCCTGGGGCTGCTGGTACCCAGCCAGACACTGTGTCCCATGGATGAAGCCGTCAATAAGAAGCTCCAGGAGCACACCAGCTCCCTAAGTGAGGACCTCCACAGCCAGCCACTCACCATGGGCAGGGAGACCTTTCTGATCCCTAACACCCACCTGACCCCAACCCAGCCCCATTGTAACCAAGTCTCATCCTGAAATACAACCTCCCTCCCAACCCCAACTCCCGATCTCCAACTGCCACAGGACGTTTATCAGCAGCTCCCAACCCAGCCTCAGCTTTCACCCCAATTCTTCCCTTACTCCAAAGCACCCCAAGTCAAGATGAGATCCTGAGACGTGGGGACCTATCTCCCAGGGCATGGGCCCACCTAGGTTTTTGAGGAGAGGGGGGTTGGGAGGAGGAGCTGATCTCCAAATCGCCTGGGTGGGACAGCAAGAGGGCAAGAGGGGGCTGTTTGGTCTCACAGCCCCTCCTTCCTTCCCTCCAACAGTTTCTGGGTCATTAAGCAAGATGAGCCTGGACTGCCAAACTGTAACCTCCAGGGGGAACCTGGCCACTTGCCCCGCAGGTAAATGGAGAAGTCTGTCACCCAGGCCAGTTCTGTTCCAAGTTTCCTTAAGTTTCCGTCTCTAGTTTTCTGGGGTCCTAGTCTGAAACCCCAGCCTTCTCCGCCCACCCCAGCTCTGGGACCCTACTTCCTTAAGACACTAGTGTCCAGATCCCCAGCTGCCTCTCCCTCTCTCCTTGCGTCTGGCGTGCACATTCCCTGGTCCTAGCCTCCGGCCACCCCAGATACCCCCACCCGCTCAGCCCCGCAGCTCCGCAATTCCTGGTCCAAGCTCTCTGGTTCCGGTCCGCAGGCTTCACCATCAGCAGCTGCACGTGCGGCTCCGCCTGTGGTTCATGGGACGTGCGCGCCGAGACCACTTGCCATTGCCAGTGCGCAGGCATGGACTGGACCGGAGCGCGTTGCTGCCGCCTGCGTGCCACCGCAGCCTGAGATCGCGCATGCGCCGCACGGGCTGGGGACGGGGCTGGAAATAAACCGGGAGATCGAGACCAGGAAGATAAAGGAGCAGATCTGATCCCTAAATGATTGCTTTACTGGGACGCGGGGGTGGAGGTGGGGGGCTGGTCTAGCGTCTGCGGAAAACCCGGGTGCATACACTGGAGCAAGGGGGAATTTTCCGCCACTATATTCTGTCCCACCCTCATATGTTTCATGATGTCTCCTACCCTTTGCTCCAAGAATGGGGCCTCAGTTTCCTCTCATGACACTCCTGCCCAAGGCTCATGGCCGCTTCCAGGAAGGGAAGTGAGATTCACTTTGAGGCCATCTTGAAAGTCACCCTCGGGTCTCTGACCTCCTCAGCACATTACTGGGTCATTCTGCGCCACCCCCCACCCCCCAAACAATGAAGCCTCATTCAGGATCTGGGTCAGTTTGGGTAGTGAACGAGACACTCCAGGACCCCAGGAACCAGGCAGCCCCCAAATCAGGGTTTGCCCCTGAATCCTTCTCAGCCTAGAGCCCTTGAGGCCTCTCCCCTCCCTTTCCACCTGTGAGGAGGAACTCCCAAGGCACAGGTAAAGTCAGGTCGGGGACAGGAAGGAATCTTTGCAGGGCCTTGTCGAGAACTTCTACCTGAAGTCATGCATAGTAAGCTCATGTTTTCAAGTGTGCAGATGCAATTGCAAAAACTCAGTTACAACCAGGGGTACACAGGCTACTTCCCCCCTCACTAGAATAGGAAAATATTGGAGGCAGGGGCACTATTTTCTCTTTAGATACCCTGGGGCTTAGAATACAGCATGACATACAGTAGGCACTCAGTAAATGTCTGTTGAATGAATAGCCATGTATATACTTAGAGATGATGCCCAGGTGTACATGCTGCATGTACCCACACAGTATACAACTCGCCATAGTCACACAGATCACAACCATGTACCCACAGACACACATGCACAGAAAAAGGCCCCAGAGTGCACACAGAGGATCATAGACAGGCCTATGGTGGGGAAAGCAGATGCAGGAACACAGTATGTTCCAGGGAGACTCTTGTGCTTTCAACATCAAGTCACTACTTTACCCAGGATGAGGACTCAATTCCTGCCTAGAGAGAAAAATCCCTGGCATCCCTGCCCCAGCTCCCTGAGGGGACAAATCTAGGTGACTCAGGGTTGAATTCCCTGGAAATCATAACAGAGGAGTCTTGCATTCAGCCCCTGAGAGAGGCAAGCCCAGACTTCAGGTACTGGGTTCTCTAGCACTCAGTCTTCAAAGGGATCCCAGATTCAACTGTCACACCTGGAGAACAGATGACAGAGTGAAGTCCTGGATTGCAGGACTCTCCTTCCACTGCGGTCCACTCCCTATGGTAGTCTAGCCCCTGTCTGATCCCTGTAAGCCATGAGCATAGATCACAAACACTCCTGGTGCCATGGAGCCCACTCAGACTCCAACTCAGGGATTTCCTCCCAGACCTTCTCTCCTGATATCACTGTGGCCATGGGGTGTAGGGTGCAACCACTGAGTCAGAAGTGTGGTCAGGACCAGATAGGGTGAGTTTAGTGCCTTGAGTGTTCCCCCTTGTCACTGGTGTGTGTGTGTGTGTGTGTGTGTGTGTAAGGAATGCCTCTTTTCTCCAAGCCCTGTTCAATTGTTCTCCTGTATTTGGACCCCCAAAAAGGCCTCTTTAGAACCCCCAATTCCAACTCACTGACCTCATGTCCCAGAGTGCAGACTTGGAGATTGTATTTGCATATATGACTTGGACAGGCAAGCCCCTTACTTGAGCTAGTGGTCCTCATCAGCCAATGCCTGGCTCCTGTGGTAGGAAAAGTTCTTCTAGTTGCAAATGCTAGAGACCCTATGAGGTTGAACAAAAAATAAAAGGAAGTTTCTGGCTGTGTAGCTGATAGGTCTAAGGTTGAAACAACAAGTTCAGGTATGGCTGGATCCAGGATCTCCAATGATGTCTCCAGGACCCAGTTTCCCTCTCAGGTCTACTTTTCTCAGTGTTTCCTTCACTTTCAGGTGTAGCAGAGCAGGACTCTGTACCTTTGGGCTTCTGGTAAAGCAAGAGATGAGAGAGATGTGACTGCCCTCAGTCCAGATGTGGGTGTGGCATCCCAGCAGTTAGTTCCCCTTGCCTCACATCTGTGCCTTTCCCCCTGGGGGCCTTGGAGAAGTAGAACTTCTTGGGATGGAGCTGAGGGGTGGGACAGGGCCTGGGTGAGGGAAGAGTGGGGAGAACCCAGGAGTCCTGTCTCCAAGCCCAGCTATCCTTACCCTAAAAGTTGGGACTCTAAGGTGTCACAACTTCTCTCTTGAGATGGAGAGGGTAGGAGAATGAAGTTCATCCAGATACACACACATACACACACACATTCCTAAAAATTTTCCCACCATTCTATTCTGCTTCCATGTCTAGGGGCTTCTATTCTTGGCCCTCTCTGAGACCTTTGCTCTCTTAAACCCCCCCCCCTTTTTTGAGACAGAGTCTCACTATGTTGCCCTGGGTAGAGTGCCATGGCGTCATGGCATCACAGCTCACAGCAACCTCAAACTCTTGGGCTTAAGCGATTCTCTTGCCTCAGCCTACCAAGTAGCTGGGACTACCGGTACCCACCACAATGCCTGTCTATTTTTGTTGCAGTTGTCATTGTTGTCTAGCTGGCCCAGGCCCAGGCCACCACCCTCGGTGTATGTGGCTGGCACTTTAACCACTATGCTATGGGTGCTGAGCCAAGACCCTTTTTGATCTGGGGGTGAGGATGCCCTAAATTAGGAGGAGGGTCATGGATCCCTGAGAAGAGGAGGTTGGCCCCTCTTTCCTGCTCCTGTCCCCTAGACTTCCTCTTCTGCATCTACACCTTATGGTGGGTGGGGATGTGGGTGAACAAATTAGCAGGGTGTGGCCCACAGAAGCTGAGGAAATCTACATGCAACAGAAGTTCAAGATGCAGGCAGCTGCCTTCAAGGACAAGAAACAGGGGGACCAGCCAATCATGAAGGTCAGGTACCTCAGGTGGGGATGGAGAGGAAGGAGAGATTGGGATGGGAGAGGTAAGGGCTGGAGGTGGGGGAACTGGAAGCCTCTTTTCCCTCCAAGATGTGTGTGTGTGTGTGTGTGTGTGTGTGTGTGTGTGTGTAAGAGAGAGAGAGAGAGAGAATATGAATCACCTGGACTCTCATATACACCTACTCTGCCCCTCACATATACCCACTCTGCTTAATCAAAAAGCAGATCTTAGTTTCTTGATCTATATTTGTTTATTTATTTTAGAGACAGAATCTTGCTCTGTTGCATAGGCTGGAGTGCAGTCTTGCAATTATAACTTACTGCAACCTCCACTCCTGAGCTCAAATGATTCTTCTGCCTCAGCCTCCTGAGTAGCTGGGGCTACAGGTGCTGCCACCATGCCCAGCTAATTGAAAATTTTTTTTTGTAGAGATAGGGGTCTCATTATGTTGCCTAGGCTGGTCTTGAACTCTTGAGCTCAAGACACTAACTCTCCTACCGTGGCCTCCCAAAGTGCACCACACCCAGATCCTCACTTGTTTTTATTTTTTGGGTGTCTGTGTTCATTTTTTATTTTATTTATTATTTTTTTTCAGTTTTGACCAAGGTCACATTCGAACCCGCCACCCTTGGTATGTGAGACCAGCACCCTACTCCCTGAGCCACAGGCACTGCCCTTCCTCACTTGTTTTTTACCTTCAGAAATATATTGTGTGCAGAGGTTGGGTGAACCAAGATCTCTGACAGTCCCCCAGCTTCCAGAGCTCTAGGAAGGTATCCACACCCCCTTCCACTCACACACAGATGCCAATGACACTATGAGAATATCACCTTGACCTGCAGAAACCAGAACCAGCCAAAAGGTGACTACACACAGTTCCATAGACAAGGCGAGCAGATGCCTGCCTGCTCACAGTCTTGGGAAGGGGTGAGTGTGGGAGGGCACTGCAGTGGGACTGAGTGGTGTGTAGTGTGGTGGCATCAAGGATTGCAACAGTGGCAGGGTAGCTTTGTAGGTGGTCATGGGGATGAGGTATCTGAAATGCTAGGGATGGGCTGTCAACTGAGTCGGTAAGGGTTTGGGTGACAGTGTTGGTGAGAGTGAATTTAAGTGACAAGCTAATGGGTTAGAAAGAATAGAACTGATGAGGTTAGTTGACTGTGATGATGTTGGCAATCATGGTACTGGCACCACGTCTCTTTCTTTTTGTTCTTCTTCTTCTTCTTCTTTTTTTTAGAGACAGAGTCTCACTTTGTTGCCCTTGGTAGAGTGCTGTGGCATCACAGCTTGCAGCAAACACCAGCTCTTGGGCTTAGGTGATTCTCTTGTCTCAGCCTCTTGAGTAGCTGGGGCTACAGGCACCCATCACAATGCCCAGCTATTTTTTTGTTGCAGTTTGTCTGGGGCTGGGTTTGAACCCGCCACCCTCGGTATATGGGGCTGGTGCCCTACTCACTGAGCCACAGGCGCTGCCCAGGCGCCATGCTTCTTGTACAGTCTACAGAACTGTGAGCCAAATAAACTACTTTTCTTTATAAGTCATCCAGTCTCAGGTATTCCTTTATAGCAACACAAAATGGACTAACACACATGGGCACTGACATTGGCAACTGTTGATGGAGTTAGTAAGAATGTCTGAGAGTGTTAGGGATAATTGCTGAGGGTGAATGCTGGTGGCAGTTTTGTGGATGGTCACAGCTGCCAATGGTTCTGGGAAGAGTGAGTTGTCCATGGTGGACAGTCTGAGTAGTAGGTTGGGTCTTGGAGGTTACTGGATTGTTTCTCTGCCTTATTCCTAGCCCAGCCCAGGTCACCCTTGGACCCTGCCGGGGTCCCCCGCTGGTTGTACAGAGCTAACATGAGCCTGTATGTCCTCCTCTCCATGGCCTTCCTGTTCTGCATCATTCTCTCCGCCTTTGTCCTGATGAAGAGTGAATGAGTATTCTTGGGGGCAGGGGCACTGGGGAACC